GTAACCATCCTTATTTGCAGACCAAGAAAATTAGCAATCATCCTTGAAGCAGCACGAGCAGAAGAAAGTTATCCTGCTACACAGTTTACATTGTTAGGCTAAATGTAAGGACAAGTATCTGTGGTTGTGTTTACCAGTCAGTTAAGACTCATCATATAACATTCTACAACAGAACAGAGACGACTGTAAATAGAACACCTACTACAATAACTACACTTTTTAAAGGGAAATTCCACAGATTTTTCGAAATTTTCACAGAATTCAGTATTGAAGATATAAACAAAGTCATCCAGAGTGAACAGGAGTGTAGAGACATTTACTGACTCAGATTTCTTTACAGTGGTGGAGATAAGAACCAGGGGTCACAATGTCTACAGCGTAAATATAGCCAGTATATTTACCATCCAAAGCCACTAGTGAACCGACACCTGTCTTATGAGTTTTATATGTAATGTTGATGATAGTAAAATAGTGGTAATTCTTTTTATATAATATATATATACAAATAAAATTCCTTTGGGGACTACTTTGCCTTAGAACTTCCATAAAATAAACTGATTAAAATACGTTTTACACCAAAAAACTTGTCACAAATAAACTAATTGTAAAACAATGTCTCAGACATTAGGCAGTGTATTCATGATCATTTCAATTAATAATTCTGTGAGAGAGCTTTTACAGACATTAAATTCCTCAGACGTCTGGTTCCTATCACCACCGCTGTGAACAGTTCTGACTTGGTAAGTTTCTCTTCACACCAAACCACTCTGAAATGATTTTGTCATATCTTAACCACATAGTTGTGCAGAAAATGTAATAAATCAGTTGAGTTTCCCTTTAACTTCAAGTAACATCCTGCAAGCAAATTTTTAATCAAATATCAAATGGTCAAATAAAGTGGTGGTTATGACATTTTTGATGACCTCAGTAGGCCTACAGTCCTTCACGTTTCCTCATGTCATTATTTTTTATGTGGATGATGCCAAAACTAAATGAATCACCTTTTTCTGTACATGTTCAGTCTGGCCACTGCATTTCTTGCCATGGATGAACTGTTTGACCTCTGATTCTGCTAATTAGCATCATTCTCTCTGACAGGCCTTGTGCTCTGTTCTTGAGCTATTCGTAGCAGGCTCTTCTTGGAACCTGAACAGGTGACTGACGTAGAACATCTCAAGATACATGACTTTGGTTTGGCTCCACTTATAATAGGATGCAGTTCTCCTACTTTGGCAAGTCACTGTGTCCCTTTGGATGAGTTAAAGGAGCCTCCTGCTGGAGTTAAAGGGGAAGTCCACCAATTTTTCAAAATATCTGCATAATTAAGTGGTTAACATGTCAACAGTCATTCAGAGTGGTTTGATGTGAAATGTTTCATTAAAGAGCAACTTACTGAGTCGGAATTGTTCACAGTGGTGGTGATAGGAACCAGACATCTGAATTGTTTAACTCCTCTAAATGCTCCCTCGCAGAATGTTATTACCTGACATGTATTCACAGGATGATGTCGGAGACATTGTTTTACAGAAGTTTTGTGATAAAGTTTTGGCCTAAAATTTATTTTATGAAAATTTATTTTAATCAATTCACGGTGGAAGGAGACACAAAGGGCATTATAAGGCAAATAGTCCCCAGAGAAAACTTGTATTTTCAGATTTTCAACTATTTTGCCACCATTACATATAAAACATCAGAAGACTTGTGTAGTTTTTGGATAATAAATATAATGGCTGTAGTTGCATTGTAGACATGGGGTCCCCTGGTTCCTAGCACCACCACCTTCTTGTGTGTAATGCTGCCCTCTGCCTGCAGCTAATAGAAGTGCACATGAGTAACATAATGAAAAAAGAGCAGCAGAGCTTGGAGTTCTGCCTAATAACTACTGTAAAGCAATTTTAGACCTAAAACACATCATCCATATGGCTTAACACAGCTAAAGAGAAACACTGCGTCCATTTCAGCTATGATAAACTGGTCTTCCTGGATCCAAATGTAGATCCATCATAACTATGGTGCAAATTTAACCTACAAATGCTCCGATTCTGTCACCAAGTCTTGCTGGCCTAACATTCTCAGAGCTTTCAATTAATTGTTTCACATCAATACAGCCCACAAATCCTTCCTGCACCCTTTCAGGACTGTCACCAGACATCTCCTCTGGATATCTCACCTTTTCTTCCCTCCAAGAAAGATAACTGATATAATATTGTTTTAAAGCTAGGATCAAATATTTGTAGAAATACAGTAAATTTTCTTCTCCTGGTTCCATTTGCTAATAGTTCTCTGTAAGTTAAAGGGAAAATTCATCGATTTTTCAAAATTTCGGCATAATTTAGCAATTGAGACATTGATGTGAAATGCATCATTTTAGAGAAACTTACTGACTCACTGATGCAAATATAGCCATTTTACTTGCTCTCCAAAACCACACATGAACTTAAACATGTGTTTTTATATATAATGTTATATAATAAAGCCAAAAAAACTTTCTTTTGGGACTATTTTGCTTTACAACACCCTGCATATGTATTTCCACTATTAATGGATTTAAAAATATGTTTTAGGCCGAAACCTTCTTAAAAGTGTCGTAAAATAATGTCTCAGGCTTTAGGCAGCATTTCTTTTTAACCATGTCATGTAATAACTTTCTGTGAGGGAGCTTTTAGAGGCATTAAATTCCTCAGACATCTGGTTTCCATCTCCACCTCTGTGAACAGTTCTGACTCGGCAGGTTTTTCTAGAATGGAGCATTTCACATCAAACCACTGCCTTTGTTCACATCTTAACAAGTTAATTATGTAGAAAATTTTGAAAAGTCAGCAGAATTCTTTAAATGCTTTGGATGTCTGGTTCCTATCATCACCACTGTGAACAATTATGACTCAGGAAGTTTCTCTACCACAAACAATTTCATATGAAATCAGTCTGAACGACTTTGTTTACACCTTAACAAATTAATTATGCAGAGATTCTGGTGGAATTCCCCTTTAATATATTGAAAAGCAGTATAAACATATCAACCAATGCAACAAACATACATTTTAAAAATGCAAACGTTTAAGGTTAAAAAATGTTCTCGTTCACATACAGCTTACACACACCACCTTAATGGACTATTAGTGAGGTTAATATAATTCAACTGTTTTTACAGCTTGTATTACAATTTTTATGATTTTCTATGAATATTACTAGTAGCATTTATAGAGTTATTGTGTCCGTATCTGGGCGTGTGTGTCTCTAATAGCTGAAAGATAACAGGTGTAACTTGTAACAGACCAGAGTCCAGTATGATGAACAAGCTCAGCAGCTCAGTGTCATAAAGTCTGATATGATAAACAGTGACTGATAAAATGAGAAACAGGATAGCCGCAAAAATCATGACATGCAAAACAATATCTGGCAACATCTTCTGTCCACAGACACAAAGGTCCTTCATTTAGACCAGTTGAATCAGGTTTTCTTATGGCATCTAAGGAACGATGCCAAAGGAATTGGAGCACCAGCGAGATATAACAAAGCTGAAAGTCAACATGCACTGAACATTGATCACTTTAACTTATCTGATTATATTAACCAAGACTTCTATACCGTGTTTCACTCAGAAGTGCGTCTAGGAATGGGAGTAAAATCTGAAATTTTCCATTCACGTTGACTTCAAGGGTTTTTAAGTATTCAAAAACCTGAATTTACAAGCAAACCTTTTTATTAGTGCTCAGAGGGAAGTGTTCACATGAAACATCAGAATATTTTGCATACGAACATTTTGTTGCCCAGCAATAATCAATGGAATGCACCCAAATAAGTGTCCCTCTGACCAAATAACGTTAATTGGAATGATCTTTCTGTGCTGCGATGATGTCAGTGATGCACCTTCGTCTTCCTTGTTGGACTGCTTCATCCCTGATCACCTGAAGATCCAACATGTCAATATCTAAGACGTCAATTTAAATGAATGCATATACAATAGAGAACAGTTCAATTCTATGGGGTTACATATTGCCCAGTGGAACTCGGCAACTTGACATGCATTGCAACTTTATAATTCTCTGTACTGGCAACTCATAATTCTATAGTTCTCTATAGATCGAGCTCAGGAGTGCCCAGTCCACATCCTGATGACCACCACCCTGCAGAGTCAACCCTAATCTCACACACCTGATCCAGGTAATGAAGACCTTCAGGGACATTTGAAGGTTCATTTACTCTCCAGGGTGGTAGATCTTCAGGACCAGGATTGGGCACCCCTGATCTAGTGTGTCTTATAGTATCACCAGCCTGCTGTATATCCTTATGGTAAACCCAGCTTGATTTATGTATGCCTTCATTTGTCATCACTATGCTACATTCCACTCCAGTTTCACTAACATAGCATGTGTCCTCATAGTTAGCATGCTGTGTATCCTTATGGTATAAGAATGGCATATTTCCGTTCAATACTATTAGCATGATGAGTCCTTGTGATTTCACTAGAACACTGTGAGTCCTTATCACCAGCATGCTGTGTGACCTTATGGTGTTACTAGCATGGCACATGTCTTCATGGTATCTCTAGCATGCTGTGTTCACTTATGGTATCATCAACACGGCATATGTGCTTATAGCATCAATGGCATACTTAAGGTCTACTGGCATTACTGGCATGGCGTACTTCCCTCTAGTACCATTAGCATGGTGTTCCTTATGTCCCCAACATGCTGTTTTCCTTACTTTCTATACTTCCTTACTTTGTTTACCGTGGGATTTGTCCTTAGGGTATGATTAGCATGCTACGTGTCCGTGCGGTATCACTAGCATGCTTTGTTGATGATTAGCATCCCAGGTTATTCAGATTATGCATGTTTTGGTATTTCCTGCATGGCACGTGTCCTTTCAGCACCATTAACATGCTATGTTTTCCTTCAATATGGCATATATCCTAAGGCTGTCTTCATAAACATGAAATTTACGTGCAACTTTGGTTGCTTGAAACTTACATCAAACAGCGCTTCTTTTGAGTTGCATAATGTAAAGCAGGAAAACAGTTGCATTTAATATGACGTAATCATGTCACATGACATATGTCCAAACAATTGATTTCACCACATCAAGGGATAGAATATTAAATAAACAAGAAAGAAGGTCAGAAGATGGTTTATTAGGTGATTGAAAAGGAGAGCTTCCTGATCAACTTTATGCAAAGTTGGTAGTTCCTTGTAGTTAGTGTTTCTGTAACCAGCTGGCTTAACTAACCAGCTTATGGTAACAACTGCAAAAATGGCTGCTTGTGCCACTATTTTTATTAACCTGCTGTTATTGTGATCTGAACAGCTAGAGAATTCATTTTCTCCTCTCTTGATGCCCAATAATTTTACACAAGGTGCAGATTCCTTTGGGACCCAAGAAGAGGACACTGCAGTGCCTCTAAAACAGTATAACAAAGTCCAACTGTAATGGTTACGTGGCTTAATGTACACAGGACAAAATAAAAGAGTCAATTATATAAGAAGGAGCCATAAATACTGTTTCGTTAGTAAGCTGTGACTCCTTGTGTTTTGATCGGCATAGCGTGCGTAGGTTAGGTTATCATCAACACTGCAAACTTTTTCTTCACCAGCATGGCTTTTGTCCTTCTAGTGCTATTAACATGCTGCTTCATTGTAGTTTCACTAAAAAGCGTTGTGTAGGTAGCATGCCTTACTTGCATGCTGTATTCTCTGATGTTATCACCAGCCTAACATATGTCCATGTGGTATGAGTAGCATGCCGCGTGTCCTTCTGGTGTCATTAGTGTGCTTCCTTCCCATATCACTATGGCATATGCTCTTATGGTATGACTAGTATGCTATGTGTCCTTCTGGTGTTGCTAGCCTGCTGTATTTCCTTATGGTATCACCACCATGCTGAGGTTTTCTAATGGTAATACTGGCATGGTATATTTCCTTTTAGCATCATTAGCATGTCTTTTCCTTATGGTATCACTAAAATATCCATGGAGTATCATGCACGATGTTCTTGGTACAACTAGCATGCTGAATCGTATCGTTAGCATGATGAATGTGCTTGCAGTACCACTTGCATGCTCTATTTCCTGATGGTATCAATAGCATGTCCACATCACCTGCACACTTAAGGTTATGGTAACTCCAGCATGCCGTGCTCCTCTAGTGCTATTTGAGTTCGGTTGTACACCTTCTGTATGGCCCTGACCACACGGTTGAGGATGGCCGCGGCCTCCTTCTGCGTGTCCACGCACACCAGCCTGTAGAAGAAGGCTCTGTCAGGCATGGCCACGAAGGCTATCTCTGCTGCTTTCCTCACCCACCACGTGTGGTGCTGGGCCAGGGTCACACGGTAGGCGTCCCGGCAGAGTTCAGAAGGGCTCCGGGCTCGTCCAGCCTCTGACTGCTCCTCAGCAAGGCTGCTCAAGAAGAGCTGCAGCCAGAGCAGGGCACGATGCAACCGCAGCAAGGTCCTGCAGCCTGAGGCCTGAGGCTGGGTGAAGTCCACAAGACCCTGGGCCAGCTCCTCTTTGATCATGGAGTGCACAGATGTATAAGCCCTTCCTACCACTCCAGCTGAGGGATGAGTTGGTTCACCCTTTGATATGGAGGTGCCTGAAACTTGTTCTTCTGCTGTTGCCTCCTTGTCTTGCGCTTGCCCTTTTAATTCTGCCTCTTTTTGGGCAAGTTCACGGATGATGGAAGTTTTGGCCTCAATTTCTTGGGAGATGAAACCCACCAATGGGCCCAATGAATCCATGAACCTAAAGATGGAACAAAAACATATGTAGAAATTTAAATAACATTCCAATTGTTTGAGATATCAACAAACTAGAAACCAGAAACGTGGAACTTTCTGACAATATACCATATGCAGTAGTGGTATCAAGAATGTCATTTTGGATAGCTATGACAAATTTGTGGGTGGGCCAAATCTCACTCCCATGTATGCGGGGGATATAGTATAAGCTGTAGCTGAGGTGTTTCTGTGCTGTTCAAACACAGCAGTAGCAAAACACTGACTGTCTAGTTCGCCAGATATATAGAATGCCAGAACAATAATGACATAACTTAAATATGCTGTTGATTTCTAGCATTTATGCCTTTGGTGTTAATGAGTTGGTTGATGATTATGCCACATTCAGATATGAATAATTGTATTAGTTATCCAGTTACTGTACTAGATATCTACTTTTGTGCTTAAAATGAGCCGTGTTCACCCACTTCCAATCTTTTAATCCCTAACGGTGGACACATCCAGTCTTGGGCCTTAAAGGGTTAAAAGAATTAGGTCTAACACTTGTATTACAAAAACATATGTATGCAGTCAAAAGAAAAATTGTAAAATAATTGGACAAAAAACACTTTCCTTTGAATAATATTGATTTTGTCTATATTACCAAGGTTGCTTAGTGGTGATGCTATAACTGATTTTGTAAAGTTGCAAGTGAATGAACTTTTGTATGTGAAACTTGAATGTTGAGAAACAAACACCCTCCCACCCCCTTTTTTGTTGTTGTTGTTTTGTGTTATATGTATGCTGATAAAGACAACGTTTGAAAAAATGAGTCTGTCTGTGTGTGTGGAATCCCTTACTTGATAAGCTCGTCCCAGCTGGCCAGGTAAGGCTCCAGCAACACGTCATCGGTTGAGACAGGTGCGGCCTGCAGGTGCATCAGCAAAACACCAACCTGGAATTTCTGCCCCGGACACAAGCCCAACGGAGCCATGTCCTCTTCTGAGACGTTGTTCCCATACAGACTGGGGGACTAAGGAAAGAGAAACAGAGAGAATCAGAGAGTTAGAGCTCAAAGGTTAAGTAAGAAAGAGTGGAGGAAAGTGGAACGTCTGACTTCTGGAATGTTGTCAGGGGTCCATAGGCTCTGTATTGTTGTTAAAGAGCAGGGTTCAGAGTTCTGAGCTAATGCTGCCTTCGACTTAATTCAGAAGTGGAAAGTCAGTGTCTCTGTTTCATTTTTGAGCTATAAAGTGTGAAAACATAGACACCTCCATGAAAGCTTTGTTGTTGTTAGCAGCGAGCTAGCTAGCTAATGTTAGTTGTATGAGTGATAATGCTCCTGATGTATTTACCCTCTCAAAGAGTCATAGATTTAACCAACTACTGTGAACTTATTTAAAAGTAGAGTAGTGATACTTCATTACCAGATTAGGTAGTAACGGAATACATGTAACAGCATTACATAATCAGGATACAAAAAAAGTAACTATAACCCGTTACACAGCAGTAATCCAATCACAGGTACATTATAAAAACAGGGTGATTACCAGCAGGATTACACTCAAATGCAAACTCTTCCACTGAAATTCACTGTTTTAATGATAAACACATCACATGAGTCACATGTAGATGTAAAGAGCTTTTAATTTGGAGGGGGGGGGGCGGTCCTGAAGAATCTCAAGAATCCCAGCCCAGCAGCTGTTCACAGTGTTTTATTCAGCTAATCTATAGAATTTTTATTAGGTATTTTATTGTTACTGGCAGAACTGAGATCTGCAGAGTTTTTCTGAAGATATCAGGCGTTTAACTTGGATTTCCACACCACCAGATTCTACAGCAGCAGACTGATCTGATCTAGCCTAAGATGTTTATTCTCGTTTTGCAGTTTGACTGGCTATCAGTCAAACTTTTGACAACCTTAACCTGACAGGTTTTAACTAACAGTCTGAAATGTGAAAAGGGTGAAGTGGCAAAGTTCATTTCATTTTCACTTGTATCATTTCTTTCTTCAGTAGTTTTAGTGTACGAGTTATGAGCACTTGCTGGTCATCGTGATGTAATCATGACCAGGTCAACCAGAAAGACACTGCCAGACCAACTATAACATTTGGTAGGTTAGGACTAATGTACTAACATACTAAGCTAAGTTATCAATAGCATGGTAGAAATAAGACAGCTAGCTAGAAGAACGAACTTGTGCCTAGATTAGCATTGGGAAGTTAGCCAGTGGCCAACTGTGACTATTAGTTCAGCTCCTGAAGGCCTAACCAATGGAAGGGCCTGCTTAGTTGTATCTACCTAGGTACCACAATGATCACTGAATTTAACCCATTTCCAACCGAAAATGTACAGAAATGTATATTTTTAGTTCCCAGAAATCTTTAGACCTTCCCCAATGAAGTTAGCTAACATTACCTAATCAGAATATGACAACAGTATTAAACCATTCTAGTTTGGGCTGAGATCATGACACACGACCTAAATCCAACACTACTGAAGGTGAGATAAGCTGTTGAAAAGACAATCTTTACACATAAGCGATCAAAAGAACATTTGACTGAGATTTCAACTTCCCCTGCCTTCACAGCTCTGATCATACCTGTTGATTCTGAATATAAACCTTCAGGCAGTAGTCCCAGTTCTCCAAACCACCATCTATGACAAGAGAGGGAAGAGAAGAACGAGAGTACACAGTCAGAAGTGCTTTTCAGAACACGTTACACAGTCAGAACACATTTCTCGTCTCTTAAACATGTACTTAGCTAAACTTTCTGAACAATAAATCTCTCCTACACACAGTACACGCAGCACGAGGCCGATCACATCACAGAAAACAAAGACGGTGCTCTCGTATGTATGCAAATCTTACCCTTGTTAAGCAGTCTAATCCCACTCCTTCTCACATTGTTATCTGTGAACGAAGCCCACCAGACTCTGATTACAAAAAGCGCAAAAAGAAGCTCTAACAGGATTAAAGCAGAAGCCGAATGCACATCACACACTGTGCTGGGCTGATCAGAACACTGCTTGGGGTTCAGAGAGAAGGAGAGTGCACATTGTTATATCTCTGGGTCCTTTGGTCACATGGCCTGGGTCACTGATGGATCTCTGCAGATAGGTCACTACACTAGTAGAGGCTATATCAGCCTGAATTTTATTGACAACAGTGTTAGAAATGACATAATCAAGTCTATTTGAGATTACTGAACAACTTCACATGGGTTGAGGTAGGAGTGAGATGATTTAAGCATGCAGTTTGCATCGTGCTAACAGATTTCTATATCTGAACACTATTGTGTATATTTCATCTACATATGTGCATATAATTCAATATATTGACATTAGAATATTTTAATATTCCAAAAATTGTATATATATATATATACATTTTAAAATATCACACACATTGCAAATACACTGTACATATATTTTAATTGTGAGCAAACGTTATATATTTGCTCATTTTGCATATATATTGTATATACATTTTAAATATGACCCAATATGTATATATATATATACGTATGAATATATATGTATGTATATATGACCATTAACAGGGAGTGGAGCTGATGCTATAAGTAAAATATCTCCCAATCAGAATCAGAATAGGGATGTATTGCTGCTGTAAGAATATGAATATGAATACAAATATGGACATGAATATAACCTTGTAAACGTGAACATGAGGGGTTGATGTGCTCAGCACCAGGTCATTAAACCAGAATCCCATGTGTACCTATTAGTGATGTTCCTCTGCGGTGTTTATATTGTAAAACAGCCAAGAGGTTTACTGTCAGCAAACAACAAATCCTGCTGACAGTTTCAGTAAATGCAGTAAAGGTTCAGGACTTTGTGACCAAATATTTTGTTTTATGTTCTGAGGCAAATCTTTCAATCATTGCAAACAAAACTCACAGAGCAGAGATCCAAATTTTCAGTGTACTTACATCACTTGATCTTAGCAGAGTCATTAAGGTTATTGTAGTGACAGTTAATAAAACAGAAGTGAGCACCTTACTGCTTTACTGTAACGTGAAATATTGATTAGGTTAAGGTTCACAAATGTTCTTTAGGTTTGTAATTTGAGTCAATCAACATTCATTTCTGAGTACACATGTTTTGAAAGCTATGAGTTATTCCAGCTGTAAACAATGAGAGCTCAAAATGATATAGTAACTGATTTCATGGCTTTTCCTGGGTTGACTCAACTTGAGGACACAAGAGTTCACACAACTCAAACTTCTTAGTTTAGTCAACTAGTTGAGTCAAAAATTCTCTTAATTTTTCAGTTCTGCATCTCAGTTGGGTGAATAAAATGAGCTTGTTTTTTATACTCAAATTCCCCACTCGCCAGGACTCTTTCCATACTTCTATACATTTTTGTTTTTTGGGTACACACTTATGAATGGCTGTGGCATCACTGGGGTTCCAACTCAAAACCTCCTGTTGGAGTGACGGCTCGGTCCACTGCACCACTCAGGAACACACAAAGCAACTCAGATTTTTTATCTATGTATTATCTTTAATTTATTATTATTATATTATTATTATTATTATTATTATTATATATGGCATCAACTCATGTGGTGCAACTGTCTAATAATTCATCCCAACATCAGGAGATTGTGAGTTTGAATCCCAGCAATACCACAGCCGTCCATATCCGGAGGCCCAAAAGGAAAATGCCAGGTGGGACTGTGTGATAGAAGGAGCGCCAGCTAGTGGGGAAACTGAGTAAAAAAGTGCAAATTCAGTTTGGTTTATCTAACTGAGATGCTGCAGATCTAGAAACAGTAGCAGGGAGAATTTTTGACTCAACCAAGAAGTTTGAATTGGTGTCCTCAAGTTGAGTCAAAAGCCCTGTAATCAGTTATTATATCATTTTAAGTTGAACTGACCTCTCATTTTTTACAGTGTGACTGAAAAAACTCATAGCTTTCAAAACATGTACATTATATGAAAATGAGTTGTTCTAATTACACTAATTCAGAGTAACTATGTCATTAATTTATAAATAAGAATATATTAAAGTTTTTGCAATTAATTGTGAAAAGCTTGTAAAAATATTATGAGCTGTACTTACGGAGCCACAAAGAGCAGATGAAGACGATGATGAAGATGATGGCGAAGGCCGCCCTGCCCTTTACTCCCATAATGCTCTTCTGTCTTTCTTCACTCTGTTCTTCTTCAAAAATCTTTTCCTCTCTATCTCTCTCTCACTCCTTCTCTTTCTCTCCTTCTTTCTCCCTCTTTCTCTCACTCTCCCTTCCCTCTCTCTCTCTCTCTCTCTCTCTCTCTTGCCCCGTTTCTCACATTTCCTCCTCAGTGATCAGGCAACTCTGCTCTTCTGTCCATTCTGCTTAGGCATCTTGACCTTTGGCCCCTCCAGAAGTAGGCAGGTACCTGTGTCTCTCTCTTTCTGTTTGTTCTTCTCTTTTCTTTCTTTTGTTCTTTTGGCCCGCCCTTGTCAGAAAGCCGTAAAGCCCACAGCTGGGGCTAGATGAGCAGCTCTGACCCGTCACTGTGATGTCCTGTTTGATGCTGATATTAATTAACATTAATGTGTTTCTTTCCCTGTTTCTGTCCTCTTTTCCTCTCTTCACAGCAGTAGAGCACACTGGGAATTCCCTTTTCTCTGATTCTCTCTCTGTCTGTCTGTCTCTCTCTGTCTCTGCCTCTTTCCCTCTCTCTCTCTTTTTCTATCTCTCTCTCTGTTTTTCGGTCTAAGAGTCCATAGATTAGTCACGTGTGTCCAGTCACTCCATATAAGGTAAGCGTTCATTGTCCTACAGTAACCTACCCAGCACAAACTCTGTATCACAATGAACCACAATGCTTCAATTCTATTATTCTTTATTAGCCATAAACTCTGTGACCTGAACATAAGCGCTACATAGGCAGCACTGTTTACCGTGACAATACAGCAGCCTGAAAGTGGATATTTTAAACATATTACAGTGATTACAGTGATTATTGTTGTTACTGTTATAGTTGTTACTGTTGTTAAATACATTCAGCTACAAATAGTTAAAGTTAGAGTTTGTACTTAGTGTAGTCATAACTGTATAGTGTGTGTGGTGAGAGAGAGAGAGAGAGAGAGAGAGAGAGGGGAAAAGAAAGACTGACAGAAAGAAGGAATAACAGAGGGTTTGAATTAGAGAGGAGAGAGAGAAAGATAGAAAGAGAAGGTAAAGAGAGAAAGGAATAGAGAGAAAAAGAAAGAGAGAAATACAGACCAAGAGAGTGAGACCTAGAAATAAAGACAGAGAGGAAGGAGAGAGAGAGAGAGAGAGAGAGAGAGAGAGAGAGAGAGAGAAAGAACAAGAGAAAGAGAGTTGGAAAAAATGGAAAGAATTAGAGTGAAAGAATACGAGAGATACCTAGAAATGGAGAGAAAGAGAAATAAAGAGATGCCTAGAAATAGGAAAAAAGAGAAAGGAAGAAAGAAAGAGAGAGAGAGAGAAGGGGGGGAAGTGGAAAGAGAAAGAAAGAAATAGATGGAGAAAAGAAAGAAAGACTGACAGAGAAAGAAGGAACGAGAGAGGGTTTGAATTAAAGAGGAGAAATTAAGAGAGAGAAAGAGAGAAGGTAAAGAGAGAAAGAATAAGAAAGCAAGACCTAGAATAAAGACAGAGAGAAATGAGAGAAAAAAGAAAGAAAGAAATGACGAGAGAAAGAGAGAGAGATAGAGAAAGAAGGAACAAGAGAAAGAGCCTTAGTAATAAGGAGCAAAAGACAGCGAGAGGAGAGAGAGAAACAGAGAGAACAACAATGAGAGAAAATAAGGAAAAGAAAGAGAGAGAAGACGGAGAAAGAGAGAGAGAAAGAAATAAAGAAAGAAAGAGAGAAAGAGAAAGAAGGAACAACAGAGCGTTAGTAGTAAAGAGAGAAAAAGAGTGAGAAAGAAAAACAGAGCAAAATAAAAAGAGAGAAAAAGAGAGAAGGACAGAGAGAAAGATAAAGAAAAGGGATGGAAAGAATTAGAGAGAGAGAGAAAAGCAACAAGAGAAATACCTAGAAATGGAGAGAGAAAGAAGAAAGAAAGACAGAAAGAAGATTTGAAATAAAGAGAAGAAAGGAGGGTAAAGAGAGAAAGAAATAGAGTGAAAAAGAAAGAAAGGGAGACATACAGAGATGAGAGAGTGAGACCTGGAAATAAAGACAGATGAAGGAGAGAAAGAAAGAGAAAAAATGGAGAGAGAGAGAAAGACAGAGAGAGAGAGAAGACAAAGCAAGTTGGGAACTCCACCAATTTTTAACACTGAGATTACTGATTCAGAGTTGTGGTGAAAGGAATCAGATGTCTGAACAGTTTCATGCCTCTAAAAGCTACGTCACAAAAAGTTATTACAATAGTTACAAATGTTTTTTTTTGTTTTTTTTCCACAATCTTATCGATCTCAACATCACACGTAAAACTCAGAAGACGCCTGTAGGTTCACAGGTGGTTTTGGGTAGTAAATAAAGTGACTATATCTGCGTTGTGGAGTGACATTTCTATGCGGTGAGAGTGTAAGTCATGTGACAGAGGGGTAAGACGCTCTTCAGGTTAAATAAATATGCTGATAAGTTTGTCTGGCTGGCCGTGAACGTCAGAACAACCTGAAGTGGTCAGTTTACATTTCTACTCAGCTGTCATGCTCTCACCGACAGTCACCATGGTGACCGTTCAGTTCAAGCGTTACTGACCGCATGTACCCTCAGACTCTGTCTGGAACAGTCCAGTCTGAACGGTATCAGTCAGATGTTCTGAGGTCTGTCATCATCATTTTAAAGACATTTTGATTGTTGAGGCTTCTGCCTGATATTTGTTTATTATGTTTTTTTTTTTTTAATGTCTCCTCAGCAAGATCTCCTCATGTCTTTATCCTCTTCAGTCTCAGGTGGCTCCTCATGAAGCTGCTTGAGGGAATGCCTAGAGCATTAAGGTAAAGAGGGCTACTGGGAAGAATCTAATTAACTTAATTTATTCATTCAAATGTATTTGTAGAATTTTGCTGCCATATGCAAAAGACACATTTTGTTGGTTTTCTAAGTGAAAATAACACACCCTCCACAGAAAACACAATTTTAGTGCACAGTTTCTATTTATTTGCTGAAAAGCAAGCATAAAATATATGAAGTGCCATAACTTTTGAACAGGCCACATTTTATTTTTCTTAATATTTTTTTTCCAGTATGTCAAATTCAGCAAACAAGCAGTAATTGTGCATTACAAGTGTGTTGTCTGTAGAGGATGTGTTCACTTATTTTCACTTAGAAAATCTACAAAGCATGTCATTTGACCAGGGGTCCCAAACTTTTGCATACGATGGCAATAGCACTAAAGTGATGGTTCAGATTTACAGTTTGTCCCCTTACTCTAAGTGTAGTTGATCAGCTGAGGCATGTTTGCTCTTTTGTACTGTGTATTCAGTGCAAAACCTTCTGTATTCAACTCTGAAAGTGGAAAGTTTATATTATTTAAATTTCTTTTTTGTTATATTCCTTTAAGTTGGGTTTGAGTGGGTTCCCATGCTAAGCAATACTGTTTGCCCGGACGTGGAGTTTCCTGTTACTCTTCCAGTTGCAAGGCTCGATTTGCACTCATATTAATAGAGGGGCTATAGATGGGCCTGGCTTACATCCCAGCTGGAGATCTAATGTCAGTGAGAGCTGGACACAGCAGCCAAGGAAGTGTCATCCTGTCCAGGTCACTGCAGGGAAAACAACAACAAAAACATGGACGTTACTCTTTTAACCCTGTTTCGCTCTGCTGGGGCACTGAAGAAAGCGACTCGATTGACTGAAATGTGTATGTGTTTAGCACATGAATGAGCATCAGCACAGTTTTATTTCATTATTTATTACGTTTTATGAGAGCTTTCGCATGTAGCTCATATCCCATGAGTCTCATTTGAGCTGCTTTTGGAGATGCTAACACCATCCATGGCAAAGCAGAGCACAAACTAATCCTTGTAACATCTGTGGAAAAGTTTCTGTTCCATCTGTTAGACAACAGTGATTGGTTGAGTGAGTTCATGTCACCTGCATAAGTCTGCAAACATCAAACAGAGAGCGATTAAAATTATATCATATTTTCACTGTCCAAAAAATTGCATGATGCAAGATGTCCTGCAAGATGTCATGAGTTCTACACATTTGAATTAATTTATTAATGCCTCAATAAGTAGCACAGATAAATACATGCGTTAACAGCCTTAACAGACTCTAAAATGCCTGGTAAAATTAAATACAATTCAATTAAATACAGCTCTAAGTAGTTTGAACCATGAGCTTTCCAACCAAAGTACATAAAAATATAGTCATCATAATAAAAGTGAACAATGGAAAGAGGTCAAATGTGGCAAATTTATATTTGAATACAACATAGAAGAGGAAATATCAACATTAAATATTTAAATATACAATACACTGCTTCAAATTATTTACTTTGGGAGGCTTAATTATTACCAACATGCCTGGATCATCTTATGGGTTTTATGGGAGCGTACCCAGGGGCCCAAGCCACTAGAGGGCCCCCATGAGCATAACGACAACATCAAAACACTTGTATTGACTTGCAGTGGGAACTTTACAGTGACTAAAAAGGTTGGACTAGCTTCACTCGTGAACGTCTGCTTCATTGTTTTCTCAAATCACTGGTTAGCAACTGTTCCACTATCCACCATTACGTCACTCAAGCCATTACTTTGGTAATCACACACTCAGATAATCTGATTTTGCTTTTGAATGTTTAGACTATGCAAAAAAAAACTGTTATGGAGGTGACAGATCACATTGCTATGAGAATATAAGAAGATTTAGCTGCATAAAAAAAATCCATGTTACATTTTACCATTTTTGGCCCCTGAGCCCACGGGGCCCCACAAGTGTCATTTATTGTTGTTGTGTTTTATATATAGCTCTGCTGTCAGGACAAAACCTTGTATCTCCATTTTTGTCGTTTTTTCAGTTTTTTACATAATTTGAAAATGCCTGTTGCCTTTCATATTGTGTGCAAATTACATGATAAATATATAAATAAATGACCCAAAATGACTTGGAAAAAAGTAATTGTTTTGTATATGTACACACACACACACACACATATATATATATATATATTTTTTACAAGTCATTTTAGGCCGTTTCATTTGGTTCATGCTTCATGAAATGTACACACAACGTAAGCGGCAACAGGTTTTTTTCAAATTATGTCAAAAACTGAAAAACAACAAAAATGGAGATACAAGGTTTTCTTCCGACAGCAGCAACATATATATAAAAACATCAGGACTGGAATGGGTGCCCCCCCCAAGTAGGATGTCTCTTAGGCTCCCCAATTTTTCAGAAGTGACATTCATCTAAAGCATAAAAACATTCAAATCTGTCTGATATAAGAGACAATAAGAGACAAGCTCACTGCTGTGCATGTGTCTGTCACAAATCATCATGCTGTGCTGCTGTCGCCATGCTGGCCTTAACATGACCAAGCCTATAATTCTACACCCCCCAAACGCCCCCACCACCACACAGACATACACGCACACACACATACACACACACTCACACACACACACACAAACACTTCTCCCCTGGCACTGACCCTGTTCTCTCGTGCTGCTCCAGATCAGTTTGCTCGGCCAGGACACTCACACTGCTGGTTATTTATATCATAACAGGGTGGAAGGGAATTAACTGCGTTGTTTTTTCCCCACCCATTTTCAGACCTGACCTGCCTCCTGCTCTAGGAGTGGCTACCAGTTCAGCCAGTCCTAGAGTGAACAATCCTAGCCAGTCTTAGCACAGGAGGCTGAACATCGTGCGACAATCCCAGCAATGGGGGTGTGGCTTGCCAGAAAACGAGTGGGGAAACAAATAACACAACTCCACCTGTCCAACTTGCTCCCACAACTTGCTCTCTCTAGAGGAATTCTGATGCCAACAGCTCTTATCACTGCTGTTACACATTAATACTGCTTTAAATACGCTACTATACGCTTGTTTTACCATTGCCAATGGTGTATTATCATAATTATCTTATGCATGGCCATGTTGTGCTGAAAAGTTTTCAACTTGACCTGTCAGCACATTTTTGGCCTATTAATAGCATCCAGATCCCAAATAGCACCCTGTTGGACACATAGTCCGCTCTTTAGGTGTGCCCTATGTAGTGCATTATGTAGGGAGCAAGAAGTTTGAGAATCAGCCAGCATCTTAGATTAACATGAATGAAAAAAATGACCCACAGTCTGTGCCCGTGTTCCAGACTGAGTGGATGGTAATGGGTGGGGGTGTGACTCAGGGGGTCTTTAAGAGCTACGCTGGGTAACAATGTAACCCGAGCCGGACGCAGCGACAGCTGGAGAGAAAGGGGAAGGCAAATAACTGCCCTGGCTTTTCCTTACGAAGCCCCGCTCAGAGAAACATCGGGGCCCAGAGATGGCAGCCCTGTCAGTGTGGTCAGTTTGGACGTGCTTAGTGGTGGCTGTGCTCGTGGTCACTGCAGGAAGAGGTAAGTGTGCTTTTTTGGTGGGACTACATTTGGAGTCCTGTTGTTCGGTGGTGGTTTAACCATTTAAACTCTAAGCGTCTGAATGGGAGTCCACACTTCAGCTCCTCCCTCTCAGAACTACAGAACTTACTCATTAGTTGCATAGTAGCTACTGAATAGTAAGTCTGCAGTATCTCTCTCCCTTATGCTGTCTCTCTCTTCTCTCTCTCTACTCTCGCTCACTCCTCTTTCTTCTTCTCTCTTATTCTGATTATCTCTCTTTTTCTTCTCTCTGTCTTTTGCTCTCTTGATTTTATTTTCTTTTCCCTCTTTTTCTCTTTCTTTCTCTCTTATTCTGTCTCTCTTACTTTCTCTCTCTCTTTCTGCCTCTTTTTCCTCCCCCTTTCTTTCTCTCTGCTTTGTGTTTTGTGGTGGGATAAACAGTGTCTATCAACATCCTTCTCAAAACTCTTAATAATACACATATTTTTTCAGTATTTTCAACATTGGCACAATAGAATACAGCTGGGGATCCCGTGTGTCTAAGCATTGGCCCTATCATCAGGAGTAAATAAATTAGTAAATAAATAGTTTTTTATAGTTTTTTTTCTACAACTGGGACAATAATTTATTTTCACATCAATGACTACTCTCTCTCTCTCTCTCTCTCTCTCTCTGTCTCTCTCACTCAGTCAGTGCAAATGAGGAGACCCAGCTGATAGCGGACAAGTTTAAAAACTACAATAAGAACATTCGCCCGGTGAGACACCCTGACGATAAAGTGGAGGTCCAGGTCAAACTGACCCTGACCAACCTCATCTCCCTGGTAACGGCCTCCTGACCAACACTCTGCACTTCACAGCTACAGTAATAAATCCAGAAGTGTACATCCTGCGCTAGAATGTCATGCAGTATTGATATGACCACAGACAGAACTTAATACAAAGAGATCTTAGTAATAAGACTTCATATGTATTGTTTATTGTGATTATTATTTAATTTGCTGCATTAATAAGTAAATCCTGATTGTTGACAGAATGAGAAGGAGGAGACGCTGACCACCAATGTGTGGATTGAAATTGTGAGTAAACAGCTGATTTGTCAGCCTGGTCCCTTTCCCCTAACCCCCTAACCCCTAGCTTAGTTAAGTGTTTTAGCAAAATGTTTGAGCAAAATTCTTCTTCTTCTTCTTCTTCTTCTTCTTCTTATTATTATTATTATTATTATTATTATTATTTAAAGAAGTTAATTTTCTATTTTAATAAACAATGGTTCATATTTGTTTATCATACAAAAGTTTAAACATTCTTATTCACATTACATTATGTTGACTTTATGTTGATTTTATCTCTGAACATTCTCTACAGAGAACACACTTGCGTAACATACACATAATGAACAAGAAATTTGGTGCCCAATTTCTATGTATTGACTGAGTTTAACAAATTGGTCAAAATAAAATAAAATTTTAAATGTGCCATTACTTTGGCACAGGGCACATTTTATGTTTTTTTTTTTTGTTTTCCAGTATGTTCCATTCAGCAAATAAACAGTAATTGTGTGTTAAAATGTGCCGAAGTGTGTTCTCTGTAGAGAATATGTGAAATTCGTAATTTTAATGGGGCGCCAAAACTTTTGCACAAGACTGGATGTCAAGAGTGATCCTCTGTCACAGTCACAGTCTGACGTTTCTGCTGCAAGCTGCACGCTGATTGATCCTCAAGTCCGCTCTGGTCTTTCCTTTCTTTCCTCTTCAGCATGGCAGTGTTTTCCTCTCTGCAGTCTGTCTCTGGTTCTCTTTCTCTGTTTGCTATCATTGCAGTCTCCTCTCTTTCATTCTCAACCACTTTTCTTCTTTTATCTGATACTCATTCGTCTCCCTCTTCTTCCCTCTCTCTCTCCTGACTCTCATTCCCTGCTGATCTTTGCCTCTGTACCTCTTCTGGCTCCAGCAATGGCACGATTATCGCCTGGCGTGGAACACCTCCGAGTACCACGGCATCGGCATAATCCGTGTGCCGTACAACACTGTGTGGTTGCCGGACATAGTGCTGGAGAACAAGTGAGACCCTGCAGAAGGATGTTCCCCTCTCTCCCACTCTCTCTCTCCTTTCGTTGTCCTTCACTTCTATTCTGCCCCCTCATGTCCCTCTTATTGATCTCGTTGAGAAAACAAACTCTGTGGACTCAGGCCAAGACAGTTCCACACTCATGTACACATGTTCCTGCACATCAGTTTCATATTCTGAAATGTTTTAGTGACTGAATCATTCATAGTAGTTACTCAAAAAGTCAAAGTAGCTCCTTAAAATCTATACAAGTTACTGATGATTCATCGTAGTAACTGAATAATTCATGGTGACTTAGTGATTCAAAGTAGTAACTAAAAACTTCATAGTAGATTGTGAGTAATTTGTAGTAGATAGCAAATATTTAATAGCAGTTACTGAAGAATCCATTGTAGTTATTGAATAATTCCTGGCAGTTACTGAATGATTCATTACCATATCTCAATATAGGTTAGTAGTTACTAAAGAATTCATTTGTGAGTCATTTATAGTAGACACTAAATAATTTATAGTAGGTACTGAATGATTCAAAGCAGTTACTTATAAATTCATAGTAGTTAAATGATTTATTGTAGACTGGGAGTAGCTTAAAGCAGATACTAAAGAATTATGGCATTTAGTGAAAAATTAATTAATTAGTTTTTTAATTCATTCAGAGAAATTAAACAAAATCAATTGTAAGCAGAAGCAACAATATATATGTGAGATAGTTATATATTTTGTACAATGAAAGCTGTTTGGAAAGTTGTTTACTCATCTTACGAAACAACAGTTTGGGCCTCAGTTCTGGTGCCCCCCTTTCCACAGTCCACAGTAGTTAGTGGATAAGAAGCCCTAATATTAATAACCGAATAAGAAGTGCTCAGTATAAGCAGTAAAGTTTCTCACCACTCTAATGTTGCCTTCTCAATCTCTTTCTCCCTCTCTGCAGCATTGACGGTAAATTTGATGTAGCATATTACGCTAACGTGCTGATCTACAGTGATGGCTCTATGTACTGGTTGCCGCCAGCTATCTATCGCAGTACCTGTGCCATTGAAATCACCTATTTTCCCTTCGACTGGCAAAACTGCACACTGGTCTTCAGGTAGGCTGACTGGAGAACAAGGGTTAAAAAACTGCTATCCTGATATTCTGCAAGGCACATCCCCTACCTTGTGCTTCCACTCACTGGCCACATTGTTAGAAACAAAATCTTTGCATTTCCACTCAGTGGCCACTTTATTAGAAACACCTACATCGTGCTTCCACTCACTGGCCGCTTTATTAGAAACACTTACCTCATACTTCCATTTACTGGCCACTTTATTAGAAACACCTGTCTTGTACCTCCATTAAATGGCCTCTAAATTAGAAACCTAAATTATGTGTTTACTCACTGCTCACTCTATTAGAAACCCTTGTGCAGTAGGGAGTGGTCCACCACTCAGTAATATCCAGCCAAGAGTGGCTCTGTGGTCAGACATTGACCACTGATGAAAATCTAAGAAGGGGTTCCCAGTCCCAGTCCTGAGAACTCCACACTATGCATATTTCTTTTGTGCTTTCTCTCATCTAGCGCACCTGACTCAACTCATAAATTATCATAAATTAATAAACTCCTAATGCGCTGGGTCAGGTGTGTTAGAGGGACAGTACAAAAAACACGGAGAGCTTCGGGTCACCAGGACTGACTTTGGGAATGACCCGGCTACAGGGTGACTAACGCAAACTGGGCATCAACAGGGCCACAGTCTCTAACTGTGCACCAGCAAGGTAGACCCACAAGGGAGGGGTTTCCAATAAAGAGGCCAGGGAATGTATGTTTCAATTCAATGCAAAGGCAACTTGTAGTAATCATAACAAATGCTAGGCTGACAGTGTACATAATGTACACCTACTTATAATTTCTCCTTTGGCTCTGTGTGGTAGGTCTCAGACATACAGCGCCAATGAAATCGACATGATCTTGGCTATCGATGCAGAGACTCAGAAACCCATTGAATGGGTGGACATCGACCCAGAGGCCTTCACTGGTAACACACACTCAGATGTACAACACACTATCAGAACAAAACCTGAACACCAGCAGCTCAGCTCACAGTGATTCAGTTAAATTACGATTATTGAGAAAATGATTCAGTGCATCATTAAATATCAAATTCACCATGGTTTGATTGTTTTGGTCCAGAATTATTTTTTTAAAAATTAGTAATAGACAAACTGGAGAAACTGTTTATAAAGGAGTGGAATAAAGACAACATTAACATGCATCAGACTTTAAGTTAACCAATTTGAAATTTTCTCATTTCTAAATTTTACATATATATCAGAGACATGAGATGCCACCTCTGCCACAAGTCAGACTGTGAAATTTCTGTCCTGCTAAATCTGCCCCTGTCAACTGTAAGTGCTATTATTGCATTTTGAAATGGAAACACCCAGGAGCAACAATAGCTTAGTCAAGAAGCAGTAGACCTCACAAACTTGTGGACAAAAGTATTGGGACACGTACATATTACACCTACAGGAGCTTTCATGACATCCCATTCTAAATCCATAGGTATCAATATGGAGTTGGGCCCCCTTTGCAGCTATAACAGCTTCCACTCTTCTGAGAAGCTTTCTACTAGATTTTGGAGTGTCTGTGGGAAATTTTGTCCATTCATCCCTGAAGAGCATTTGTAAGGTCAGACACTGACCTCACAAATGGACGAGAGGGCCTGGCTCACAACCTCCATTCTAATTCATCCCAAAAGTGTTTGATGGGGTTGAGGTCAGGGCTCTGTGTGGGTCAGTCAAATTCTTCCACACCAAACTCACCCAGCCATGCCGTTATGGACGTTGCTTTGTGCACTGGGGCTCAGTCAAACTGTTCCCACAAAGTTGGAAGTGAACAATTGTCCAAAATGTCTTGGTATGTTGAAGCATAAAGTCCAGTTGCGGTCTGCTTTACACCACTCCATCCAACGTTTGGCATTGTGCTTGGTGATATAAGGCTTGGATGCAGCTGCTCAGCCATGGAAACCCATGCCATGAAGCTCCCAGTGTGCAGTTTTTGTGCTGATATTAAAGCCAGAGGAGGTTTGGAACTCTGCAGTTATTGAGTCAGCAGAGCGTTGGCGACTTTTATGCACTATACACCTCAGCACTCAGCGACCTGCTCTGTAACCTGGTCTGACACTTTGCGGCTGAGTTACTGTTGTTCCTTAAGGCTTCCACTTTTTAATGATACTACTCACAGTTGATGTGGAATATGTAGGAGGGAAGAAATTTCGCTAACTGACTTGTTGCAGCAATGATATCCTATTACGCTTGAATTCACTAAGCTCTTTAGAACAACCCATTTCTTCACAAATGTCTGTAAAGGCAGACTGCATGGCTAGGTGCTTAATTTTATACACCTGTGGCATTCAATAACTAAGAGGTGTGTCCCAATACTTTTGTCCATATAGTATATATATGATGAATTGATGCATTTTTCACTCCTGCTGAACCACAAAAAATGACCAACAACAACAGCAACTGTCCCTCCTGGCACTGAGCCAACCACCTGTCTCTGCAGAGAACGGAGAGTGGGCCATCAAGCATCGACCAGCACGCAAACTGACCAACCCGCGCTACTCTCCAGACGATCTGGAGTACCAGGAGGTTTATTTCAACCTCATCATCCAGAGGAAACCTCTCTTCTACATCATCAACATCATCCTGCCCTGCTCCCTCATCTCCTCACTGGTTGTCCTGGCCTACTTCCTGCCTGCCCAGGGTCAGCACATCTTTACAGTCACATCCTGTTAGATCTTGTTAGAAGTTTGGAATCATTTCATATGAATAACTGTTGTTGGTTTTATTTAATAGTCATTTATGTGTAGATTGAACTACTTTAAACTACACATGGGAAAGGATTTTAGATGTCTTATTCAATATTTCAAAAAGTTTGTTTTGGAAATGATACAAAGTTATTAAATGACAAACACTTTGGTTTTATTCTCACCTTCATTCTAGATATTAATTTTATTCCTACAAATGATTTGAAACCTGTGCAGTTGTAGAGTAGCAACATCATTTTGCTTTTCCGTGTTTGTTCTCTCTCTCTTTCGTAGCTGGAGGGCAGAAGCTGACTGTGTCTATCTCAGTTCTCCTGGCTCAGACTGTCTTCCTCATTCTTGTCTCTCAGAAGATTCCAGAGACCTCTCTCTCAGTCCCTCTCATCGGCAAGTGAGTGTCCACATGTGTATATATATATATATATATATATATATGTCAGTGTGTGGATGCGTGTTTTCATTTCAAGAAATACCTCAATGTTTTTCAACCTCATTTCTGTCTGCTACACATGTAGTGTATGGTTGATCACCATAGACAGAAACTTTAATGTGTCTCTCTGTATTTAGGAAAGATCAGAAAACCAGTTTACCCAATACATTCTCATCACAGAAGCCAGCGGGCTGAATTCTGTGTTAGTTGACTATACGCTACAGGTATGGCATGTAGCGATACTGCTTCACTAAAAGCCCTCTCTGGTGGAACCCTCTGTCCCAGGTACCTGATCTTCGTCATGTCTGTGACCACACTCATCGTCACCAACTGCATCATCGTCCTCAACTTCTCCCTCCGCAGCCCCAGCACACACACCATGTCTCGCACCATCAAACACGTACGTCTCAGTGTGTGTTGAAATGTTATGTATTGTAGTGAAAACTCCCAGTTGTTCCTGTTAAACAAGAATTCTGTTGATTTTGCATTTGACATCAAACCACTCTTAATGCCTTGGTTTACATCTTAGCAATTGGTTTAAGAAGGAATTTTGAAAACTCAGTGTCCAGATTCACTGGACTATATACACCACTGGTCTCCAACCCTGGTCCTGGAGAGCTACCTGCCTACAGAGCCTAGTTCCAAACGCAATTTGCCACACCTGCTCCAGCTAATTAACCTCTTCCCAAGTCCCTGATTGCCTGGATCAGATGTATTAGAGTTAAATAAGGGGCGGGGCACTTTTTCAGATACAGGTTGGAACTAAACTCTGCAGGAAGGGCCAGGATTGGAGATATACACTCACCAACCACTTTGTTAGAATCTCCCACCTTGTACAAACACTCATTGGCCTTTTTATGTACATTGAAAGGAGTACATAAAGTAATTGTTCACTTATAGGTGTACACTGATAGACCGTAGCCCATCTGCACAATTTATCATTTACCTGTTGGAGTTTTTACATCAGTGGCACTGCTAGGTTGGTGGTCCACCACCCAAACATATCCAGCTGAAAGCGGCCCTGTGGTCAGAAAGTGATCACTGATGTAAAGCTGGAAGATGGAAACTACTAAATTCACTGTTTTATTAATTCATCAGCATATCAATGTTCTCTCACTGCAATACCCAGCATGCATTACGCAAATAATTCCCCACACGGCAGAAATATTGGCTTCCTTTCGCATTAGCCAGTGTGAGGAGGGGCGGGGGGTGGGGGGGGGATGGCGGGTGGTTTCCAAACAGTTGTCCTCATGTATCCACCTAAGGTCACTTTTAGTTCCCCCCACCTTCAAAATACCTCACCTTCACCTTCAGCAGAAGGGGGGTTTCCAAGTTTTTGAACACTCTAGACACTATTGCAGCACTATTGTAAGAGGCTAATAGACATGTTTACAAGAGAGTAGTGACAGAAAAAAATTCTTTTAGGCCAGAGTGCCTCTTTCAGAACAGTCAGGACAGTCATAGGCCTTTTTCTAAAGATAATTTATGGACATTGTACAATTGACAATTTACACCAGCAAAGTGGAACTTCAAGGTAGAGGTTTCTAATAAACTAGGCAGTAAGTGTAACTGATAGTGATCTAAGGCTTTGATTCTTATTCCTCCCCCCTCTCTTTCTCTTTCAGATTTTCCTAGAGGTGGTCCCTCGCTTCCTGGGCATGGCCCCTCTGGTGGATGACGGTGAGGAGGAGAGTGGGATAGAGGGAGTTAGGGAAAGGAGGCGCAGCTCCTTCGGTCTGATGCAGCGGGCTGAGGAGTACGTCCTGAAGCAGCCGCGGAGTGAGATGATGTTCGACAAACAGAGAGAGAGACACGGACTCACACGATCCTTTGGTACACAATCACTAAGACCTTTCTTACACCTTCAGTTAGAGCAGCAGAAGATGATGTATTGGATATCGGAGGAAAAAATGAACTAATCTGATCCGATTCTGTAACAAATCTAGCCTGAAATAGCACAAACACATTATGATGTTATCTGATGCTATGTTGATGGCTATGTATTTGTTCCTATTTATTTTATTAAGGAAATATTATTGAATCAGAATCAGCATCGGACAATATTAAAAGTTTCAATATCAATATCAGCGTCAGGAAGAAAATGTTGTATCGTGCCATCTCTAATTTTCACTGGTTAGCAATTCAGGATTCTGTCAGCTGTAAACTTATGGTGCAACAACTTACGACTACAGGTAACCGTGCATTTTGTTACTCCTGGTTTGTGCATTCAGATGACTTTGTCCGAAATTCACTAAAACACTCATTACTCCCCAATTATTTTCCAAAGCTGATAACTTCAAAAGTTGAGCATCCAGAGGAACAACCTGATCAGGCCTATTTGTGTCTGTCAGTAGTGTGTGATCAATGAATCAAGCAAGTTGATTTGACTAAATGAATTTGTACTAACTGACGTATCAGTGCTTGGCCCCCTAACTGTAACACAATAACTGTAAGAAAAAGTCACCAACAAAATACTGTAAAATTTAATGGTTAATACCGATTCTTCAAAAAAGGTTAAATGCATGTAAAAAAAAATGCATTAACTGTATTTTAGCACTGTGGTTAATTTACATAAGCATAAGGTCTATTCACAAACCTGATTATTTGTGTTCATTTTAATGGCTGTTACTGTTGTTATTATTATCAGTAAAATACCATATGTCATAATAATTAGCAGAGCTATGTGTAATTTTACAGATTTACAGTATCAGGATCATTACTCATTATCAACAGTGCTAAAATTTCAAACAATAATGAGAAAGTTAGTAATGAAAATGGCTTTTCCATCCAAGGAACAAAGCTGATCCATTTAAAGTTGTGCTTTGTAAAAGAGGTGAGCCAAAATAATTCTGTGCACATGCATAAGTGATGCATAATTAGACAACAATCAGTCCGTTTATGATACAACATAGCTCATACATATTGTGCTGATGCGAACAGACAACATCACAGGGACTAATGTTTACCTATAATGCGCTAACATTCTGTGTTGTTCTGTGTGCGTGTGGCTCCCTCTAGTGGACGCTATAGATGTGAGCAGTACTGCTACTCTGTATAAGAGTCTGGCTAAGGCAGCACCAGAGATTAAAGAGTGCGTGGATGCCTGTAACTTCATCGCAGAGAGCACCAGACAACAGAATGACATCGGATCTGTAAGTGTGTGTGTGTGTGTGTGTGTGTGTGTGTGTGTGTGTGTGTGTGTTTGGGTCTTTGCAGGGCCCAAACTTCCTCAGGATGATGGGCAATGCCAGTTTAATAATAAACAGTGCAAAGCTGATGTTAAAGGGAAATTCCACCCGTTTTTTCAACATTTCTGCATAATTCGATATTTGAGATGTCTTAACTTGCTTTGTCTTTTCTCTCTCTTTCTCACCCTCTCAGGAGATGGAGAGTTGGGTCCTGATTGGGAAGATGATTGATAAAGTTTGCTTCTGGGCGGCAATCTTGCTCTTCTCCATTGGAACGGTGGCCATCTTCCTCATGGGTCACTTCAACCAGGTGCCAGAGTACCCTTTCTCCTGGGAGAATAAAACATATACTCCTGAATAAAGGAGTAGCCCTGCATCAGAGAGAGAGAACAGACAGGAGAAGAGAGAGAGAGAGAGGGTGAGAGAGACACACCCTGAGAGAAATCCTGAAAGCAGTTATTATATCTAATCAGACTGTGATCTATATTTTCTTAAACCTCCAAAATCCTCTACTTATCATAGAAGATTTGGGGCTGAATGCAGTCAGGTCTGAAATCATTCACCACCCTTACTATGAATGTTGATAAACGTTTTCATTAGAAACAGAAGCTTTATCATTTAACTGGCAGGAGCAAGGACTTCATGTCATCTCTTTTACTTACACTCTTAAAAATAAAGGTTCCTCAGTGGTTGCCTGGATGTGCACTTCTAGAAACACCTTTAACCGGTACAGAGGTTTTACATTATGTGAAGCTCCTTTGTAGGTTCTTCATTTACAATCATTTCTCTGAGGAAAGACACTTTAAAGGTTCTTAAAGGAAGCAAAAGTGGTTCTTCTTGGTCATCATTCCCAAGAACATTTGAAATGGCCCATATCCTACATCTTTTGTATTTTATTTTGTCTCCCTCGTAACAGTTGTGTGGTTTTATGTACCAAAAATGGTCATAATTCATTTTTACATGGCCATTTTCCAACCTTTCTTTATACCTTAGAATTAAACAAGTTGTTTTCATCACTGTGCTTCAAGCAGCATATAGCCATGCGACCTCTACAGGCAAACACTGGCAGTAGAATGGGTCATACTGAAGAGCTCAGTGACGTTAAACATGGCACTGTCATAGGATGCCACTTTCGCCACAAGTTAGTCAGTGAAATTTCTGCCCTGGTAGATAATTGCAATTGTTCATTTTCTTTCAGCCATGAAGCAACAGATCAACTGAACAGCATAGCGCATAAAAATCACACATTCTTGGGGTCCACAGGATCTTCATGAAATGGGTTTCTATGGCCAATTAGTGATGGTCAGGTGTCCACATACTTTTGGCCATATAGTGTAAATGGAAATGAGCTCTGCATTGATTGGCCACCCTGTATTGTGCCTAAACCAAAAGCTCTCAGAACTTAAACACTCCTTAGGATTTCCATGTGAATAGGAGGGGCTAAACTGATATCTGAAGAAGTGGACATTTGTAAGTTGGTTCTTGTGACATCACAGAAATAATGAATTTAAAACAGGCTGTTTTTGAAGCTTAGTTTCTTAGTTTTGATATGGTTCTTGGTTTGGACAACAATAAATATTTTACGTCAGAAGTTCCCAACACTGGTCCTAGTAGATTACTAGGATTTTGGGCACCACTGCGCTGCATTATGGAGATTTTTCAAAGTTAAAAAGTTCTTCACATTCACACATCGTATTTACAAAAAACGGTTCTTTGAAGAACCGTGCATTGAAAAGTTGTTCAGGGTATCAACAGTGGTTCTTGAAGTTCCTCCTGCGCAGTGCTGCCCAAGATCAGGATTAAGGGGGCATTCCAGACTAAAACTAACATTTAATATGTAATTTATTGTGTGATGCAGTTTTCTGCAGCTCAGCATTGGATCTATCAGCCTGACTAGTTTAAAAGAATACACAATTTTGTATCTACGATATAAAATTATATATATTATATATACGATTTTGTATCACTGCGATAAAGAAATCTTGAAAGCTAGCATAGCCACTGATGTGGAACCTTAAAAAAATTCAAGTATTTGGCCCAAAGTGCTTTCAAGATGCATCATCAGAAGGGTGTTTTCCTAGTCTTTAAACTGGAAAATCTCTCTATAGAAACTATGCAGCACCACTGTAGGAGGCAAATAGACATGTTTACAATAGATGTAGTGATGATTACATATTGCATTTTGGCCAGAGCATCCTTCAACAAAAAGTGTTCTATGGCAAAGAACCCTGTTTGGTACCTTTGTTTTTAAGAGTGTAATTGCATTGTTCTGTTATTGTCTGTTTTATTTATATTATGTATTTAATACTTCCGAGACTGAAAGCGTATGCATACATATGTTTGATTTTATGCTTCTTTCTTTAAAAAAAATGACATTTCTTATTTCCTTTTTTATTTTCTTTGAATGTTTGACACAGCTTAGTAAGTATTATTGAGTTTTGTTATTTGTTATGACTGGTGCAGCGTGGCCATATCTGTTGTACTGATTGGACTTTTTAAGACTCTCATAAGGCTTCTCAAAGCAGGAATCTGTTCTTCTCAGAAGAGTACAGTAAATAAGAGAGGAATCTGATATTAGATCGGCACTCCTGCTCTGAGAAGGTTTATAAATACAGGCCAAAATGTGAAGTCAAGATTACTAAAAATAATTATTAAAAATTAAAATTTTAAGTGTAAAACTGTAAAGCGGTGCAGTGTATTCTTGAGAGGTTGTGTAAAATCTGAATCATTAGAACAGGGTTCATCAGTCTTACCCGCAGAGAGCCGGCATGCCTGCAGGTTTTCATTCCAACCAAGCAGGGACACATATACCTCATCAATTGTCTAAAGACTGAAACCTGATTAACTGATTAAAGTGTAATCAGGTGTTCTGCTCAAAGGGAATGAAAACCTGTATAAGATCAGTGACCCCTGACTTAGAACAAGTGGTGTAATGATACCTGAGAACTTCCTTGAAGCATTCACTTAAGATGCATTCACCGTACATGCAGAAATGGACATCTAATAGAAACTATCCCTTAAAAAGATGTATTTACTGATACTATAAGAATCTACAGTACTGTGCAAAATCCATTAATTTCATTTCCAGTCAAATTGACCATTAAGGACAAGATATTCATTTTTCAGGCAATATTTCGGAGGGGGTTAGAAATATGATAATCCACTTGCAGGGGGCAGTCATGGGCTGTTAAGGAACTAGCCTTGTGACCGGAAGGTCGCCGGTTCGATCCCATGAGCCAACAGTACGTGACTGAAGTGCCCGTGAGCAAGGCACCTAACTCCTGACTGCTCCCTGGGCGCTGCGGATAGGGCAAGTGTGCTCACTGCCCCCTAGTGTGTGTGTTCACTAGTGTGTATGTGGTGTCTGCTATATAGTTTGAATAAGCAGATGATACAGCATTCAAACAGAACAGGTGAATTCCATCAATTTTTCAAAAGCCCTGCATAATGAAATCTTTAAGATGTAACCAAGTCATTATGAGTGGCTTGGTGTGAAATGCTGCCTTGTAGAGAAATTAACAGTCAGAATTGTTCACAGTGGTGGTGATAGGAACCAGACATCTGAAGAGTTTAATGCCTCTAAAAACTCAGACAGTTATTACATGAAGTGATTACAAAAACACTGCCCGATCCCTAAGACTTTGTTTTATGATAGATTAATTTTGCTTTATGATAGATGAAAAGCTATTTTTTAATCTATTCACAGCTGAGAGGTACATGCAAAGCAAAACGCACCCAAAGAAAACGTATGTACAGATGTTGTGACTTAATATTAGGCTGCCTTTGTTTTGAATGTACAATGTGATATAAACCACCTTCACCGGCCACTTAGAAAAACATGCAAATAGTGGACCCCCTGGCGGTGTGTGACAGACCGCTGGGGGTCCACAGACCCCACTTTCTGAAACACTCTTCTATAGTAACGTATAGCATGTCCATAATACTTTATGATATTAATAAATATAATATTGCTGTGTAGTATTCTGTAGTAAACTACAGTCATTGTCTGAATTAAATATGATATTCTTATAGAAAACCAGTAGAAATTTCAGATTACTATAAGTGTTTTTTGGGAGACGTAAGAGTGAGAAATTTTTATTGAAATATTATTTTTATTCTTTTCAATATTTTGATGAAAACTCAACAGTGTAATGTTTCTGCAGAACATTATCTTCAGTAACAACCAATAAATACAATGCAGGCCCTTATTTTTGTCCTCAGATGTGAAATTTAGTTTGACGTGTATCAGATTTCACATTTTTTGTTAACCGGTTATGTCACTAAATGACCTCTTAACACCTTCCCGCCACCCACTCGCTGAGATGAAGTATGTTCTCAGACTGGTTTCTACAGTTCATGCCTTTATACCAGTTTCTGTTTATATATATTGAGAGCGAGAGTGTGTGTGTGGGGTGTGTGTGTGTGGGAAAATGAGCCAGCATGGTAGAGAAAACCACTTAAGATGGAATCTGTGGATCTGCATCAGAATGCATTATATGGCTACATGTGTCGGGAACCAGTAGGAGCAAAACATGGGTTTGCTATTGTGTCCATTTACAGTATTTAGGCTGTGCACCCTTTTTGGTGATGAGTCACCTGTATTTCTTTATTGCAATTAATATCTTGTTCTTTTTTCATATTGCCCATTTTCTTGTGCTGCTCCACAGCAACTTCTTCCTTCCAGTTTAGGGTCTCTATTCACAAACTGATCTAGAGTCAGTTTTGTGACCATGACCATCATTAAAACTAGCTAACTAATTTGCTAACTAATATTAGCAGTCATAACAGACAGAGGTTTACTGCATAAAACCCCTTGAACATAGAAAACTGAAAGAAATTGTAAGTAATTGAAGTATTTTGCTTATAAAAGCTTTGTCTGCCATTTTTTTGTGGTGTGAAAAGAAATTGTACCTTATCTCAATGATTTCTGGGCAAGTTCTGATGCTGAAATTGACACTTGTGTTTACTTGATAACTCGCACCACTAAAGGCTCATCTAATGAAGTTTACTTGAGCTGACAAATGAACAAATGAATGGAATGGTCCTAAAGATGGTGTCAGGATATGCCTGAGGGTAATTGGTGAGGCCAGCTGGACAAAGGTATGTTAAAACTGTTATTGAAATAAGCGGCAGTGCTGCTGTTACCTAGTATAATATTTCAAGATCAAAGGTCAGACAGGGGCCCTGTGGACCTATTTGTCTAGAGCTCAGCAATCCTGTTATTAGATCAACACTTTGGCTTATAAAGTTGGTAAACATAATAATTACTAAAAATAATGTCACTGGTTGTACACATCCCTCTGAACTGCATTCCTATATGGAAAATAAATATATGCTAAGTATATTTACCAAATTTATTTGAAAATCTGTGAAAATTGCAAAAAATGTTTTTGTTCAGTGTACTTTAGTGTTTATTTTGAAATAAAAGGCATCTCACTTAGACTAGTATGTGCATATCTTTTCTGTATGGATTCAGTTTGATTGTCATTATAATTTTGGGAGGCTTAATTTTCACAAATTACAATGCAAAATATTATATTAAAGAAAGCTGTGCAACAGTGGGAAGAAATGGCGATGGTTAAGATGACTGTCAATGAGCATGAAGCTCCAAATAGTATGCTGCAGAGGTGTTGCGCTGCTGCTATGCGGATTACGGTATGGATGCGGCGACCTAGCCAGTAAAAAAGAAAATGTGCGACTTTTGCGGGTCTTCTGAAGCAAAACTCACGTTATGTATGTTTAAGAGAGCTGAGGAATTTTACCTGTACTTCTGACTACAGCATCGTATAAGTGTACGAGTGTGAGGCTCTGCGGGCATTTCCCCAGTGCATAGCCGCACGACACGACAGAGCTGCACCACGAAGGTTTACGGTAAATACGGCATGTAGAATATTTCGCCTTATGTTGAGCTGCTATTAGAGTGTTTGCGGTAAACACGGGTTTAGTTCAGCCATAAAACTAAAGATACGACTAGATCCTATGGGGCATGAAGTGCACTATTTAAACGTTTTAATGCGCTATAGTACAGTAAACAGAGAGCAGGGAGACATTTATCCTATGTACACAGTAATTTTGGACCAGCTATTCCTCCATTCATCATGGAATTTTAACATAATGTTAAGGGACAGCTGACGCTTTAAAGTTTTCTTGTGAAGTTCCTCGCAAATTTGGATTTATATTGTTAAAACAATGGCCTGCATTTGTGAAAAGTGAAGTCTCAGAATAAGAGTGCTGGGGTCAGCTTACGCCTTTTAGAAAGTAAAATTACCGTATATGAAGCGATTAGATCTGATCTTGGATCTGAGTTCTTACGCTGAGATGTTTGAATTATCAATATTATCTAATGATCCGTGGTGTTTACTGTTTTTCGGCGTGAAAGCAGCCGCTACTCGAGATTTTACGGTAAGTTGGACCTGTAGAACGCTGTAGGACGCTGCCTACGTAGAGCATTGCACGCGTGGAGAGTCTGGTCTGGGTGTGTGGATGGAAGGAGAGTCTCTGAAGTTTGGACAGTCGGTGGAGATCATAATGTAGGCTTCTAGTCTTCAACACGTCGGATTATTCTTCAGTCTCAGCGGATTTCGTGGAGGTGGTGAGTAGACGATCTTGTGAAGGAGAGAAAGTTCTTTTCGCTCTGCAGCAGCAGCTGTAACAGTAACCGAGTAACCGAGGCTGGACGGAACCAAACACCAGTGAACTTACAGATGAACCCGCTGCTTTCAGTGACGCTGCCTGGGCTTTGGAGAAGAACTAGATAATCTCTTACTCTGTGTGTTTTTCTTGATTCTAATCCGTGCGTGTCGTGTCAATCAGAAACTCCGACTTGGGAGAGTTGGAGCTCGGAGAGTTAGGGAATGGGTGGAGGAGAAGGAGGAAAAGAAGGGTGGTCTCAAAGGAAAATGTCTTTCACTATGTTTTATTTTTACAGAAACCAAAGCAGATCTCAGTTCTGTGTTAATGCTTGAGTTCCTCGTCCTAAACTTGTCTTGGGAGAAAAGGAGAGCTGTGAGAGGTTCTGGAGAGAAGAAAGGAAAGACTAAGTTCTCTTTCTGCACCAGGAATGAGGAACTGAGGACCGGAGTCCAACTCAGTTTGGTGATTTTCTCTGCTCTAACTCACCATCTGAACCTGACAATTAACTGATGAGTTGTGTGCCTGAGCACGAAAATCACCAAACTGTACAGGAATCCGACCCTCCGGGACTGAGATCCCCACCCCTGATCCCCACCCTGGTCCCCACCCTTGGTCCCCACCCCTGGTCTCCCACCCATGGTCCCCACCCATGATCTAAGCTGAAAGATTTCTCAGATTTATAAGAGAGCGCTGTGTTCAAAAAAGCTGGGATTTTGCACAGAAGACTGGAGTCAGATGAGTCAGACACAAAAGAGTTAAGCCATCTGAGGCGGTGTAGTTTGGCTTTAGATCAAAGTGAGAAATGCATTTCAGCAGATAAATGTAATGACATAAGGGCTGTAACGATTAGGGCTGTCTCCTTTTTGGTATTTTTTGTGTTAATCTCTTCAATCTACAGAACTCAGATCTTATAGATCGTATAGATCTTATAGATCATCTCATCTTATCTTATTATCTTATCTTACAGAGTCTCGTACGGCTCAGACAAGCACTCATTTTATTAAATAAAGCATGTCCTCGTGCAAACAGGCATCTTATGGAACAGTTATAGACTTATAAACAATACAGAGCCTGAACTGCCTCCCTTTATACCTATTGTAGCGTTTCTCCCTGCAGAACTGAAATATCAGCATCTCACAAAAACACACAAATATGTGCAAAATGTGAGCTGTTTGACTCAGTCATTAAAGGGCCCATATAATGGAAAACTGAATATTTCTTACTTTCCTTTCTGTGTAAATGTTGTAAACCTATTCCAGGCCATACAGTCTCTATATTGAAATGAAGCTGCCAAATGCAAAAACAGCCCATTTTTGTTTTTGTTTTGTTTTGTGATGTCCTGAAAAACAGTGTATTTACATATATATCAGTCTGTTCAGCTACAGCAGTTTAGCTCCACCCACTGATGCTGGAGTGTTTTCATGTAAAATGAATTATGACCATTTTTGGTACATAAATACTCACAAACATCATAAGGGGTAAAAAAAATCAATCGCTGCTGTCGGAACAAAACCTCCCATCTTCAAAATGATAACTTTACAGGCGAAGGAAAAAAACCTACTTTACTTTTAATATACGTGAATGGAACCAGACTTTTTTCCAAGTAATTTTGAGCCGTTTCTTTTGGTTTATTCATCATAAATGTTGCCCAAAATGTGAAGGACAACAGGCATTTTCAAATATTCAAATGTCAAAAACTGAAAAATGTCAAAAAAATGTAGGATATGGCCCCAGTTTCAGTTTAGTAAAGTCTAGATTAAGTAATTAATTAATTGATCACTAACTACGTTTAAGTGCACACGATAGCCTGACTAAGACTAAGTGGGCCAAACCAAAACGTTTATGAGAGATTGTCCACTTATAGTTCAGTTTACTTTATTTTGGTTTTATGATACTGTATTGAAATTGTTACACATTTAGGGGAAACTGATTGTCGTCTATGCTGGTGAGATTTCAAACTCACCAGCATAATCAGTTCCCTCCATTTAATTATCTAACTCTCTATTTCTATCACAACATGATGTCTCTTCCTGTCAGCAGCCGTGCGGCCCTTTCACCTTTTGTCACAGGTGTGGCCCCAGCAGCAGAGCAACTTCAGACAAGCTATTTGTTGTACGTGAGCAGGCAAAAGAAAAAAAGTGTGTGGGGGGGGATTCAGAGTACACTTTCTGCAGTTCCAAACATTCTTTGTCCCACTGTGTCAACATCAGGACTCAGCAGTGCTCAGCAGTGCTCAGTATCTGCACGCTCTAGTGCTGTCGGCGTATCAGGTCTTGCTTTAACAGGTTTCTCAGGAACATCTTTTGACTGATGGAAGCGCCGCACGCTTCTAAAAGAACTGTGAGACTGACCGAGCTCATGACAGATAGCAACGTTGCTAAGCAGTGATTGGAGTGCTAAGAAAACAAAACAGAACTTGTGTTGAACAAATGCACATGTTTAGAAGTAATGTAGAGATTGTTAAACGTGTGCACCTTAAAAAAATCAGCATCTGTTATTAAAATATTTTAGTTTGAAGTTTTGAGTATATTTTAAAGGACTCACATCATGGAAAACAGAATTTTCCTTTTTTTAAAAAAAAAAACAAAAAAAAAAAAACACTTTTTTAAAAAACATACCATTCTCTCCCCGGTCTATACAGTCCATATATGGAAACAAAGCTTCAAAAACAGCCTGTTTTGAATTCTGTGATGCCACGAAAACCAACAAATTTACACATATCCACCTATTCAGGTTACAGCAGTTTAGCTCTGCCCATTCATACTGAAGCTGTGTTCAGGTGCTCAGTGGATGGTTGGACATACCAGATGGTTAACTAACTGGTAAATACGACTGAAACTGCATTCAGGTGTTTGATGTATATAGGCCCACCACATGGGAAAAGGCAGCATGGAGGTCTGGAGAATACTTATCCCTTCTTTTTCGTCGCTGTGTTTAAAAGCACGTAGATTTAATAGAAGCGCATCAGGTACGTTTTCACTTTCACTGCCAGTTTAGCGTTTTTTTCATCGTATCATAAACTCTTGCTTCATCTAGAATCCCAAGTTTCAATTGTAAATAAGACTTTGTCAGCCGTTCAAGCGTATTTCCCAGTTTCCGACACCACTCAAACACAGCATGAGCGTTTCAGCTCAGACTATTTATTTAAATGAGGCCCAGTACTGGGCAGCCAGTCAGAACAGAGGTCATTTACATGTATCAGTCTTAAAGACACGGTAACAAAAAAGCAAAAAGTTTAATTGTAAGGGATAAAGAGAATTTGGAAAATGGTCATGTCAAATGACCTGTGATTTGACCTGTTTTGACCTGTTTTAGGTACATTAAACTACACCAGATATAAAATGCAAAAAACACGTAGGACATGTAAGACGACACTACTGAAAAAGTCACCAACGTAGCTACATAGTTACTGACGCCCACATTGTTACCACAGCAGCCCATGCAGATTGGTTGGTGATGTCTGGACTCACAAATTTGATCTGACCACTTGCAAATAACAGTGTGGACATCAACTTCAGGAGATCTGATTTGAGAAACAAATCTGATTTGAGAAACAAATCAGACTTGCCTGCAGTCTGAATGTAGCCTAAAATGTTTTTACTTGAGGAAAAGAAAAAGAAAAAAAAGACACACACACACACACATTTTTTATATATATATATATATATATATATATATATATATATATATATATATATATATATATACACCGATCAGGCGTAACATTATGAGTTTTTCTACATGATTAGTGAGGGAGGGGGCCACGAGTAAGATGAGTCTGTTTGAGTGGAGCAACCGGCGATCTGTTCTCCTGTGACCGAGTGTGGGTGACGAGGTCAGTGGTGTAACTGTACTGACCTACAGCGAACTCACCTCTTTCTGTACATCCTAACCAGCTTTAGCAGCGTCAAATCACAGTCCTCACAACTAAAGCGCTGTTGCAGCACTCGGGCAGTCATATTTTAATATTAGTGCATTCCCAAGCACCGAAAGTGAAAGAAAGAAGTGAGTTCATGTAAATTACAGCTCCGATTTAAATGAAAGTAAACTGAGAAGCTGTGAGGCATTGGACAGCGGGAGAGCGCTATCTTTCCAGGCTAGCTGTTTTTAGCAGCTGGCTAACTTGAAGCAGCGGTCTGTCACTCCAAAACACGGAGAACTGATGATACTGTAGATCAAACACGACACAAAAGCACCGCTTTCAGTTTAAACATACCTAAAAGGAGGACTCTGTTTGTCTGGTGTTGATATTTTGCGGTTCACCCCTTAAACTACTACAATTGAATATCCAGTCGTCGCTAGCTGGTGTTTGAATACTGTGATGTCATTTGTAGCGGGCTAGCCGAGCGCTCGGCACCAGCTCAAAATAATCTGTTTTCTTTCTTAAATTATGACTATTACAAAATAGCCATGCTTTTCCAGCTGGCAAAAACAGCTCAGCAGACACTTTCTCCCACTCTCCCATGACAGATCTGTGAAATGTTCCACTGTTTGGTGAGCGTTTGTCGTGTTCCCACCATAAAGGATAGTTTAAAACAGCAATAAACCACCCAGGAGCAAAAATCAGCCTTCAAACAATGATTTGACATTTATCGCGGTATGTATCGATATCGAACGATATGAATTTCGCCATATCGCCCAGCTCTATGACCACCCCCTTGTTTCTATGCTCATTGTCCATTTTATCAGCTCCACTTACTATATAGGTGAACTTTGTGGTTCTACAATTACAGACTGTAGTCCATCTGTTTCTCTGCATACTTTGTTAGCCCCCTTTTACCCTGATCTTCAGTAGTTAGGACCCCCATGGACCCTCATAGAGCAGGCACTATTTGGGTGGTGGATCATTCTCAGCACTGCAGTAACACTGATGTGGTGGTGGTGGTGGTGGTGGTGTTAGTGTGTGTAGCGCTGGTCAGAGTGGATCAGACACAGCAGTGCTGCTGGAGTTTTTACTCT